AACGACTAATGAAACGCAGCCTAGTTTTCATGTCAACTTCCTTTGAATCTTAGCCTTGCCTACTGTTTTTTTACAACTAAAATATGGTGAGAAATCAATGGTGTCAATATATCTAGGAAACATCGCTCTCTGTATATCCTCATTCTCTAGTTTGTGCTTGTAGAAATTCATGCGGCTGTGATTATCCTACAGCTCATTTTATTCAGAAAATACTCTCACTACACTGAAATGGCTACTATGGGGACAAACGTCATCACACATGAAATAAACTGGGCTCATTGAAACAGCAAGAGTTGCAGCTTTGCAGTCATTCCTAGTTTCTACATTTGTAAAAGGGGACACGTGTACCTATAGTACCCATTTTTATTCTGATATCTTGAGGTCAGAGGTCAAGGGACCACTTTCCATGACAATTTAGCCGAACTTTGGAGCATTATTTATCCTCCTCCCTGACAAGCTAGCATGACATGATTGATACCAATGGAAGCGTTAGGTCTTATAGTTTCATATGTTACCAATCTCTTTAAAGTCTCGTTGCTCCCCTATTCTGGTGCCAGAGGTTGGGGCTCCTTCACTGATGCTAGCTACCTCTTGGCTATTAATGTGAGCTGTAACATTAGCCTCCTTCAGCCTTGCTTAGATCAATTTATCTATTCTGAATGAAAAAAATATGGTCACTTCATTGTTATTTGGGTCTAGACAGCTCACTCTTTTTCTTCTGGAATCCCAAAGTATGTGCAGGTCCTGGCATAGCAAGGAAATTCACTCCAACATAAGCTATTAGTCATTTTAAATCAGTAAATTTCTCAGGTCATGTGGCTGGCCCCCCACAGTGCACTTATGACATTTTGATGTACAAAAGAAAAAAAAAAACTGAATCATAGCTACATACATACTAGACCAATCTGTACAATGTTTATTTGTGTTGGTTTACTAAGTAATGGTAAACATTTAATATTTAATTTATAAAATTTGATTGTCACTGCTTTTATATATAGGATGAATATGATTATTGCTGGCCGCCCCCCTAACTAAAAGTGTGGCAACATATTCTGATCCACATCTGTCTTATGCCCCATTCACAGGGCAAATAGGAAGGCCACCACTCCCACGGGACCATCCCGGATTAAGTTCTGCCCTTGTAAGTGCTATGTGTGTTTGTATGTGTTATGTTATTATACATTTACATATTTTAATGGCCTGTGTCCAAAAAACAAACAAACCAGGATGTAAGTCATCCACCCACTTACATGTCTCATAGGATTAGACAAAGGAAATGAGGATACTGCTTGAATGTTTGCCACCACTAATTCATAATCTTAATTTTTAGATATTGTGTTAATCACAATAGAAATGGCTTTAAATTATATATTTAGTTATTATTCTATGTTTATGTTATGTTCTAGATAAATGAATGACATTTTTATGGTTAGATCCAAATGTGTCTATTTACCTTCTCTCATGTGGACTGTTTGCTCTGGTATCTATTGATGCAGGCTATTTGTGTCCACAAAAAATGTACACGCAAATTACTCATTTTTAGTCTTGTGGAATTACTTTATTTGACCTCTTTGACCTTGTTGTCCGGAGTCTGATAACTATCACTAGTTAATTTTCACTACGTTTAAACACACAGTAGTAGGCTATTATGCAGCAATAGCAGACTAACTTTTTCAAGAAACCATAGTGGAGATAAATGGCATTTTTTGTTGTGCTCAAAGAATTGAGTTCAGCAGTAACATCTTTTTCCAAATGCTGAGGATCTACACAGAGCAGTTTCCAGTGGAACTACTTTCTTCCAAAGAAATAGTCCATGTATGAAAACTGTTAGCAGTGAGTTCTGTGGATTAACTGGGACCAGGTTCCTGAGAAGAGATATTGCTTTTGAATTTTGTATGTATTTTTGCAATACTGTGAGTACCACAGGATTATTCACCTGCACTGAATTGGGATGGAGGCAGAAATAGAGATATACTAGAGTAGATAGAAAGTTGTAAGAAAATATGTTTTTCATAGTTTGGGTGAAGCAACCCTTTTGTTTGTGTCTTCATCCTGACATACTGTACAGTAAAATGGAAATGTTGTATACCGTATGAAAAAAGTGTGTCTTTGCTTCCTGTAGTTTGCAGTTTAATGAGTCAATAAGATGACTCAGTGTATGCTCTAAGAGATAAACTAAAATTCTTTGTTTGGAGCTAACCTTTCCCTGGAATCTTTTTTATTCTATGATGATCACATGCATGACTATAACATCGCCAGGTCACCTTCTGATAACCTCTAACATTTTGATTTCCAGCAAAATGCGGCAGGTGGACTTCTCTCCAAACTCATAACTGGCATCAAAAAGGTGCACTACCACTCCTCCTGCCTCCTCAAAAACATGTTGGTCACAGTTGTGTACAACTGCAACCCTTTTAACTCTTCCCCATGTGTGATTTTGCTTCAGTGTGGATTGCTTTGTACTAAAACACCTCTTCATTGCACTCTTGGACCTTTGCTTTATCACATCCATTCTCCATCTCTCTAGCAGAACCCAGATCACAGCCGATAGTTTGACAACTGGAGCTGCTTGATCACACATGCTTGATCACAATCTAACACCATCCAGAGGGCACTCACTGCAATTACATTCTGAACCACAGCCAGCGGCTTTATGCTGTGTCCCATTTAGTAGCTCCCCCATCTATGTGTGCATGTCAGCACCATGTCATAATGCATCAACACATCTGTCCTTTTCTTTTGAACAAATTTGGAAGACACAACTAGTGCATAATTTTACTTATGACTCATGTATCCCAATATATAATTTGTGTTTACACAGAGACGCAGTTATGCAGGCATTTAGGTGTACCTCACCAGCACTGCTGTACACAAGGTTTATGTGGGTTTATTAGATACTGACGTCCACATGCTAGCCAGGGTTTTGGGGTATCAAAGCATCAATGTAGTTATTTTTAGTACCATACTAGTGACCTCAGTGGTGGGTACGGCCATGCTCAGGATGTCAATACAGACCCATTTCAGACTGGGAAAAACGTAGAACTTTCCAAAACTACATTCATTCACTTCCATTTACCGTGCCTCTCCTGAAACTGTTTGGAGCCCTGCAGGGGGTCCCACTTCCCACTTTGAACTTCTGCTCTACATCCTTTGTATAGACAGTCATTTATTGGACACCATGTATTACAGTGATACTGACTGCTGGCTGAAAGACTGCTGATGATTTAAAAAACAAATGTACTAACCTTTTGCTGATGGGTAGACTTCACATTTAGAAGTTGCTTTCTCTTCAGTGCTTTTTGAATGAGTTCTGAATATAAGGAGAACTTCCCATCAAATTCTAATGTTTGAAAGAATCCGTCTTTATTGAGCCTAAACATTTCGAGGGAGGTCTATCACTGTGATACCGGTTCCATATAAAGAGTACTACATAAGAGTAATGAATTAAGTTACTCATTGCAGCGCAACCACTGATCTACTGTTCTCTCAAACATTGTCTCTGATTAATTGATAGACGGCCCAGGGACAGCAAACCCACATCCCAGAAAATCCCAATCCTTATGAAACCAGAGTGCCCAATAATCTAGTAGGTGGCAAAGGTAAGTTTAGAATGAAGACGTGTGAGTACACCTTCAACAGGAAGTATACTGTTTTTAAATTGCTATTGCTAGTGTACATATACATGCTCTCTTACCTAAACAACCTTCCTCTAATGTGACCATCAGAGGCCATGCCAATGGATACAGAGGTATATGAGAGTCCATACGCAGACCCAGATGAACTGAGGAGTTCCACAGTGGATCGCAAGCAGCTCTTCTTGGAGGATGGAGAACTGGGCTCTGGGAACTTTGGCACAGTCATAAAGGGCATCTACAAGATGAGGAAGTATGTTAAATCCCATCGTATTACATCTGCATACAAGTAACACCACTCCTCTACTTTAAGCACCAAGTATGTCATGATGCCATCATTATGAATTGTCAGTCATCTTCATACTTTACCCACTTGAAATATCTCCCTTCTTAAACTTCCTACCGAATAATACCCTCCATACCAAGTATGAACCCATTGTGACATCCCCCATTGGTTTGTGGAGTACCGTTTTGGACCTTTGAGTTTGGCATCATGGTTGTGGCCATGTTGGTTTGTTGGAGCCAGCAGCAGTGACTACTGCAAGTTAGGCTGCTGTCATTGGCTGCGCTTAGTTTCGAGTGATCACACATCAAATTACAGATAAACTGTTTCTAAAAAATATTTTAAGTGAGAAATAGTACGGAAGCGCATTGCATTCACTGGATTAAAAAAAAATTGACACCATATCT